TAACAAGGTACCAAGGCTGCTCTTGGTGGGAAGAGAGAAATGTTAAAAAGTAAGTAAAAAAGATAATGTAACAGTGATACAGACTAGGAGGTTGAGGAAAGTAGGTGGCACCGAAAGCCAGGTGGATTACTATCTCAGAGCCAACAGACCTAAATGGAAGATGGCAGAGGTAGTGGAGGCAGAAGGTTCCAGATTGCGTACAGAGCTAAGACCCTACGTGAAGTTTACCCTGTGTGAAGAAGATGCCACAGCACCCGCGGCATTTGAGCAGCTGGATTTTGGACCTCGGGCCTCAATGAAAAATGTCATGCAAGGATGCTCATGGCTCCTGTCTTGAAGGTTCCAGACTGAAAGAGCTAAGGCTGTGAGGTTTCTTCTGTTCTGAAGAACAGAAATGAGGGCAGGATTTGAAGACAGCTAGGAAGGGCCCAGGCAGAGACAGGAGGCCACTGGGAAGGTGGTGGACAGGGTGTCACAGGCCACTCCAGGAGCCTGGACTTCATCAAGACCCCAGGAGAAGTCACAGCAGGGGACTAACAGACAGAACAGCAACACCGAATTCATGAGCTGAGATGCCTCACGCTGCTGGTCCCAGGCTACAGCAGGATCTCACTTCACCTTCAAACACACTGAGGCTGTGCTCTCGCATGCTGACTGACAGAGGAGGAAACTGAGGCAGCAGAGAGAGAAACAAAGGGTCGTAAGGTCACACAGCTCGAGGTGATGGAGTCAGGAAGAGAGAACTCAAGTGGTCGCCACTGCTCAGAAGTCCCACACCCCGACACTCAAGGGAGCTGTTTGGGCTCCCTCTGCACTCTGTGGTAATGGGCTGACGAGCCCCTCACAAGGCCCTACATCTCTCAGAGCCCCAGGCTCCTCAGCTTTGAAGTGGGTGTGGGCCCCAGAGCACATCCTGGAGTTGCAAGCCCACAGCTTAGTCCAGGGCAAACACGCAGCTCCTGGCAGCAGCAGGTGACTTGGGGTCTGGGGCGCCTTTGCTCCCTGATCACGTGATAGGCTTTCCCCACTCAAGGTCTGCCCCATCCCAGCAAATGGAAAGATCTAGAAATCACTGCTCCTGCCTACCCCCACCGAGACCACACTCAGCTGTGAGTACAATGCAAGGCACTGGGACACGCAGCTCCCTGGGGGCCAAGGGACGCTGCCACCGACTGCCCTGCACTGACAGCGGAGCCCACACGCTGGCCAGATTCGGGGCCAGAGAGCCTCCGCAGGACAGTGTCCCCTTTCCCAGGTGGCACCCCTTTCCACAGCAGCTCCAGCCAGTATGCCCTTCATGGAGCCACACTTATTCCAGACTGATGTTCCCTCTGCTCGCTAACATCCCCACCCCCAGAGCAGGACTCCCAGCAGCCCTGAGCAGGACAATATTCACTTAGGACCCCTACAGAGTGGCCACCCCACCGTCTCTGACAGGAGAGGTGCCACAGCATGGCAGGCAGCACAGCAATAGGAACACCAGGGATTCAGGCACAGAAACCTCTCTGTTTTGTTTCTGTGTATTTATTTAGTTTTGCATAGAAGATCTGGGGTTGAGAGGACGCACTAGAGACAAAGTGGGGAGCAAAACAGGCGGGTCTACTGAACTACACTGCCGAGGGGAGCAGCGGGCAAGAGGGGCGAGGTCTGCTGTGCCATGTGGGTCAGCTCCCTGGCCGGGGATCGAACTCAGGGCACAGTGGTGAAAGCGCTGAGACTTAACGCCCCTCCCCGCCCCCGCCCCCACCGCCCAGTGACCAGGGAGGCCCAACCTCTCTCCTTTGGCCCCTACTGCCAGCACGCACCCTCACTTCTGCAGGACTTATACCATCCTCCTTCTCCCACCAGATCCTCTGTCAGCATCAAGGGGGACAAACTGGCCTCCATAGTGGCTCTGAACAGAGTGGCTTTGGGCAGCAGCAGGGGAGGGTCGACTCCTGCATGCCTACTAGGGCCAGAGGAACCGGGTGGCACTGGGAAATGGAGTGCCATGCCAGCTGATGCTGGAAGGGGTGCATGGCACCCTGGAGAGCTCTCTAGGGGAAAAGTGAAACAAGCAGAGAAGGAGAACTAAAGATCTTCATTTACTACAGTAGATAGCATGCTGGCACTACCATGGTGGTTTCACATCAGTGCCACACTCCCCCAAGCACAGAGTAACGGGGGGGGGGGGCAGGGAGCTAGCACAGGTGCAGCCGAGGTGGTGCAGAGCCCCCGCCTGGTGGTAGGCCCTCTGGGAGATGGGGACACTGGCTACAGGGCTGGCTGACATCGGGTGTCAGGGAGGCAGAACCACTCCTGCCCCAGGCCCTCTCAGCCCCTGCAGGAGAGGGTCACAGCCCCCTGTCACCCCAGTCACACCCCAGAGCCAAGAGGCACAGAGAAACTGAGCCTTTTCTCAGATCAACCTTGCTCTGCCTGCTCAGACCCTCCCACATCAATAACCTGCAAAGGCATCTCTGTGCACAAACCCACGGACCCTTGCTCACATACAGGCGTACCCCCAAAACAAAGCCTGGACACAGACCACAGTGTTCCCCCCACCCACACACGCACATGTCCTGCCCTCATGCCACCCCTACATACAGCTTCTGGGGCCTGCTGGCTGTCCTCTGTCTGAGTGCTCTCCTCCCCCATCCCGTGGGGGCAGTAGGGACTCGGGGGTCTGCTCAGCTGCTCCTCCAAGTCCCCTCTTCTGGCCCAGCAGGCTTCTTCAACTTCAGCTCCAGCCGAGTTTGTTTGTCATGGTTCAGGTCCCTGGAGCTACCAGCCAGGGAGCCAGGAGTTTCCAAAGGAGCAGGGAGTGGCTAAGCTAGTCCCCTGGGGTTCTCCTCACCTCTGAAGTTGGGTAGAGGGAAGCCCTGGGCTCCCGGCCCTCTGCAGAGCTAAACCTAAATCCTGTCAAACTCAGAAGTACTGGGCAGAGGGTGCAGAAAGCAAAGGGGAGGAGGAAGATACAAGGCAGGGGCCCTAGGAGGAGCCCCAGATATAGGCAATAGGCTTCCAGGGGTGTCCCCTAAGGGGGCTGTCCTGGACAGCCTGTGGCAGGGACAGGCAAGGGCAGCTGCGGGCACCCGCAGAGCTCACACACTACCTGCTGGCCTGGCCTGCCTCTCAGCACGCGCCCTCATTCTTGTACTGATGTGACAGACTGTGGGTGCAGGGCCCACCCACATACAAATGTGGGAAACTTCTAGGCTCTCTCCCAGCGGCCTGCCTGCAGGTCAGGCCTCCTGGGCTCAAGCCCAGAGGCGTTAGGAACCTCAGGGTCATCCCAGTGCCCAGATGGGCGGTGGTGGGAAGCAGACTCAGGCTAGGGACTGAGCATGCCACAGTACACCACCTCTCTCGGCAGAGTTGCAGGCCCCGCGCCCTGTAGCCAGAGCCCAAATCTAAATGAGGGCAGTGCCAGGGGTCCAGTGCCAACACCCTGGGTAGTCTGTTACTGAGTCCCAGGAAAATCTGGGGCCTGGCCAACAGCACCCCCTCCCACTTTAGGATCCATTCTTGTTCTCAAGCCAGAAGAAAATAGACAGGCTTGAGAGTTCACTGCCCTCTGGAAACCACCACTACGCTCAGGACCAAGCAAAGTTGAAGGGCCCTTTCCAAGGAAGCATCCCAAAAAGATACAGAGAAACAAAGGAAACCCCTAAGAAAACCCAGGAGACTGAGCCACAGGGGCCCAAGCCCATCTGAAGGGGGAGAGGCAAGAGCTGAGCCCACCGCCCTGGCATCTTCCGAGGGTCGGCTCTCTCCTGCCTGGCAGCTGGCAAGACAGTGTCCCAGGGATCTGGTACCTCCCACCAAGAACACAACCAAGCCCGGCCAGCTCACCTGACCTTCTTCTCCTGTCAGTCCAGCTGTTCCAGAAATAGAACAGTTTCTTCTCATTCTATTTGGACAGCTGCGGGGACAGTGATGGTGAGCAGAAAATGTTGATTATTGAAGGGGTGGGGGCTCAGAAACAGAGCCACAGGCCTCTGAAGGGGGAGCTCTGGATCCAGATGGAGGCTGGGTTCCAGCCCTTGGGCTACAGGGAAAGGCCATGCCACAGTCACTCTGCCATTCAGGGGAACCTCAGAGGGGTATCCAGAGGGGTTTCTGGAAGAAGTCGACAGAAGCCCCAGTACGCGGACAGAGCGATTGCCTTCGTTACGGAAAGTTTGAGGCCAGCCCCAAACACTACCTGGCTTCATTCCCTGACAGGCCCCGGCTCTGCCCCAGTGGGTTCAAAGTTCCTAGGCTGGGCTCAAGGAGAGGAAGATTCAGCATCAACAAGGAAAGGGCAGAAGACCTAGAAATTTATCTCCTTCCCACCCAGAGGTGACGAATAGAATTATAGAATCAAGACACTCACTTGGCCCTCACCCTTCTCGCTCTCTTCTCAACAGTCTCTCTCTCTCAGCTCGCCTCCCCTCTCTTCCAGGTCCATGTCCCCCTTCTGGCCATCCCATCCTAGTGTCACCCTGTCCCCATCTACCTCCTCCTGTCTGCCTCCCGCCTGTCCCCCACTCCCAGTTATGTAAGGGGCCTGAGAACACACAGAGGGAGCTTTGTTGTCAAACCAAATCCATACGGAGCCGGAATCGGCCAACGCAGCTGTTCCCCATTCCCTCCGCCTTGGCAGGGTTGAGACACTGGGCAGGAAGCCCCTACACACCCCCATTATGGAAGATGGGGGGCAAACACTGGCTGCAGGGCCTCCAGGCGGCTGAATGGGTGGCCAGAGATCAGTCACCGCTGCGTGGGACCACAGCAGGGAACCAGCTGGCCCACAAGAGGAACAAAGCCACAGAGCAAAGCCAGGGTCACAAAGACAGGAGTGGAGAGCTGTGGGCCAGAGCTACACAGCCACAGGCCTAGAGGCGGGGTACAGACCCTCACAAGTGCACCCATGTTCTCGCTCACACAGCCCCTGAACACACTCACGGATACACCATGTGCAAGCAAACACACAGACACGCACATGGGCCTCAGCACAACACACTGTGTGTGCTCACCTGGAAGGCGTTTGAGCAGAAATCTCCTCCCTGCTCTGGCCAGCCTCCTCCATCCCAGCAGGCACCTCTGGGGAAAGAGCTCAGGCCTCTGGAGGAAAGAGGGCAGAGGGCAGAGGTCAGAGGCCAGAGCAGCAACATCAGCCAGCACTTGTGTGGAGGCCCAAGGCTCCCGGACAGGACTCACTCTCCCATGCCTGGGAAGCTGCCCCCCGAGATGAGTGAGGACCCAGGGGGCTGAGCAGGGTGCTGCACCCCTTGAGCAGACACTGCTGTGTCACCAAACCCACCAGCCTGAGAGCCCTTCACTCTAAATGCCGGAACTGCCAACAGTAGCTCTCCTGAATCCCCATGGCTCCGCAGGGTGCAGGCCCCACCCCCAAGCCCCCCACATCATCAGGACAACCAGGTGCTGAGGTGGAGAGGGGCGGGCTGAGAGAAGGAAGAGGCATGACTAGGGAAGGAAACCTCTAGGAGGAAAGGAAAGGAAGGCAGGAAAAGACTGGAGAGGGAAAGAGGAGAAAGCAGGGAGCAGGAAGGTATCCGAGCAGAAGGGGTCATAATCGAGCAGAGAAGGGCATGCACTGTGCACTGCCTGTGAACACGGGCTCCCCGCGCCAGAACATGGGCTCCATACCAGCCCCTGGACAGACCCTCTCGGCTGGAGAAAGCCAGTCCCTGGCTTACCCAGCAGCCCACTCACCCTGCGCCCGCCCGCCCCCCCCGGGTTTGCAGGTATAGGTCAGCCACACCCCACACCCTTGGGGGCTCAGCTTCAGCAATGTGGGTCTTTGGGGTCTGGGAACAGACAAACTGAAAGATACCAAGACCTCAGAGACAGGAATAAGATAGGGCGAAAAGGAAGGGCAGAGCCAGCCCAGGGCCCTCTCTGGAGCCGTCTCAGGCCCGGGCAGAGAGAGAGCGCAGTGACCTTGAGGCAGCTTCCAAGTGGCTGCTGCACCTGGGCAGGGTGCGAGGTGCTGGAGACGCGACAGTAAGGCAGCCCAGTGGTCCGATAGCTGTCTGCTGGTGCGTGCTCATTTATATAGCTCAACCCTGTGAGGAGCGGCAGAAGCTGTCACCCCAATTAACAGATGTGGCGTTAAAGAGCCAATACAGGCCTGACCTGCCTGAGGTCACATGATGGGAGCAGAGAGGAAACAAGGGAAGTCTCCAGGAGTGGCTCCTGCCCAGCCACCTGCCCCTACTCCTGGGCCCCAACCCGAAAGCAGAAATAGGCGGTGTTACAGGCCCTGGCATGAGAGTGCAGCTGCTTTAACCCAGAAGTGTGCACTTTGCAAAGCAGGAACCTGAGGCTGCCTGCTGTACCCCAGCCTCAGGGACAGGGAAGGACCCAACCAGTCCCTGTTGTCAGGAATACAAGTCTCATGGCTCCCCCACAACCCTACCACCCCCAGAACACTCCCCCCGACCTGCCCCTTTGTGATCCGTGCAGGATTCATAACAGGATTCATCCCCTCACGTAGAGGAATGGACAGGGAGCTAGGAGGGCGGGGAGGCTTTGGGGAGCAGAGGCTGGAGCTGGCAGCTGACAGACACTTGGAAGTTTAGGATGGTGAGATCAAGAGCACCCAAGCCCTGGGGTACAGTGAGGGCAGTGGTGTGGGGGTGAGGGCTGAGCGTGTGCTGATGGGACCATGAGAATAGTCCCATCTGAGTCAAATGGCGGTTTTCAGGAAAAAAAAAAAAAAAGCTTAAACCAAGAAAAATCTGTCCCACTTTCAAAGGAAACTATGTGGAAACGCAATAGGCAGAATAAAAGTGGAGTTGCTCTGGAGTCCTCATTCCTGAGGTGACAACTGAGAGAGGATTCCACCCAGGTGTGCCTTTCTTGGACCCCAATGAAAAGGGCTGGTGTCGGCCCTCCCTGGTGGCGCAGCGGGTTAAAGCACAGCACTGAGAATCTAAAGCCACTTCTGCATGAGTTTGATTACCGCCTGCCCCGGAGGTGACCACATGGCATGGCAGACCTCTCCTGACCCGCCCGCTGCTCCCCTCAGCAGTGTATTTCGTCGATCTGCCTGTTCTGCTCCCCACTCTGTCTCTGGTGAAGCCTCTCGCCGCCCCTGAGCCTCTGGCCTGTATCCCAGTTCTGTATGTACAAATAAATAAATCTTAAAAAAAAAAAAAGAAAAGGGCTGGTGTCAGGGGCAGGAGGTAAGCTGACTGAGGGGAGGCTGGGTGGAAAGGGCCATGCTCTCTACAGGGCCAGACCCCTGCTCACCCCCACCTGGGGCAGCTGCCACCCCTCTGGTTGTCTGCAAACAGCCCCCCCACACTGTAGAGCTAGGCCCTGGTTTGACCAGCAGCTCACCTATCGAGAGTGGAAGCAAAGCCACAATTCGGTAAGGACAATTTGACCTCCGTCCACTCACCAAACATTTACCGAACAGTGACTACTTTGCTAGACATCATTCCAGGCATTAAGGATATTGCAGTGAACAAGACAGACAGGTTCCTGGAGCTACATTCAAACCCCAGACTCTCAGGAAGGAAAACATCTTAAAAGTTTTCAAGTTCATTTCCACACCCCCAACATGCGCCCTGCCTCTGTGAACTGTCCCTGTCAAGGTATCAGGTAGGGGTGCAAAGATCTTCGGCACACCAGCAGAAGCATGCTTCAGAAATCTCCAGCCCCAGGCCCTGCTGGCATCATTCCCTGCCCGGCTGAGGCAGCGCCTGAGCCTGAGCGAAGGAGTCAATGGAGCATTAAATGCACTGTTAAGATTGTGCATGGGTTTGTTTTTTCACATTAAGAACAAAATAGGAAGCTTCATCTTTGGTCTGGGTCCACTGCTTAGGACCAGAGAAAACAAGTCAGCCCCAACTAGTCCTGCAAAGACCTTCCTGGTCCCTCAGCCGCTGTCTGTGTCCTGACTACAGTCCCTGACACCACCCTTAGCAGGGGTCCCCAGGGAGCACCCCCACAGACTCCTACCTCCCTCCTGCCTGTGCTTTCTTCCTTCCTCCTGCCCCGAGCAACCTCCAGAAAACACAGAGAGGACTGCGGGTGGGGCAGAGAGGAGCTCACCTGCTCAGATGGAGGACAGGGGCGAGTCTCCCAGTTCTTAAACCAGGAGCAAAGATGCCCCGCCAGCAGGAATCTGGGAATATCAGGCGCCAGAGCAGCCACCGTGGCTGGGTCCTCCATGCTCAGACCCCAGGGAGCCCTGCCCCTGCTCCAGGAGTTGCTGTGGTTGCCGGGGGAGACCTTGCAGCCATGTGGGCGGCAAGGGGGAGACACACTGCCAAAGCAATAGGAGCCGGAGGGCAGGCCAGATGGAAGCAATTAGAGGCAGGGAAGGGGAGAGGAGGGGCTGGGAGAAGGCAGGGAGGGAGGGAGGAGAGTCCTGCCCTGCCCAACGGAGACAGGGCCTACAAGCAAACTGCCTGGGCTCTGGTGAGGGTGCCAGGATGGACGGCAAGGCAAGATGTGGGGTTCAGGCAGCACACTGAGCTCCGGACAGGTGATTCCTCCGGAATCAGGAGGGTTTATGTCACGCCTGTGTCACCATCCCAGTGGCCTTGAGCAAACCCTTCACACCTTAGAGCCTTGGCCTCTCCATCAATCAATCATAGGGCAGGAGAAGATGAACGGGGAAGCAGTGGGGAACTGGGCTAGAAAGCGCAGGTTTTGGAAACAGGCCTAGATATGACTCCCAGCGTGTGACCTTGGCCGAGTAGTTTAATCTTTCCGAGACTCCGTTTCTTCACTTATAAATGGGCTTCATGAAAGGGCTGGGTAAGGCTTGCAGAAGTCATGGAAGTCAGTTAATAGCCTATCTTTTTTTTTTTTTTTTAAGTTTGCCGGGCCGGGTTTTTAGGATATAAATGGTAACCACTTCTGCTATGTGCTGAACCCCTTTGATAATCGGGACAGGTGCCCGCAGAGGCTGCAGGTATAGAGGACACAGGGCCGACTGTGGGTACCAGCACTTTGCTGCACCCTGCAGCCCGGCTTGGGCCCAATATAGAAACGACAAGGTACTGGTCCAGACTCCACCAACTGTCTCTGTTCCCTTCCTAGCCTGACAGCCCCCAGCCCTCCACCCCCCCACCCCACCCCACCACCACCACCAGGAAAGCAAAATCCTGAAGCCCCTAACTCACTCAGCTTTGGAGAGAAGCTGAGGAAGAAGGGACTGTCCACAGCCATGATCGCTAGGCTTAGGCAGCCAGGCCTTCCCACATCTGCCCTCAGGTGCACACTCACACAGCTCTTCCCTGCCGGGTCAGCATCACGGTTCAGATTCTAGAGGGATCACACATCACCATTCTGCAGGGCAGCTTCACGGGACAGGGAGGGCAGAGACAGGGCAGTAACCTGGCTGGAGGCCTTCTGGACTTAATTGAGAGAAAGCCTGCAGCTCGGACCGATGGCCCTCCGCACCCTGCAAAACAGCCAGCCTAGCATAACCCCTGGGCAGGGCTCAGCACCTGCTCAGCCCACACATCACAGGCACGGCAAGTGACTACTTCCTCCATCACACACACAAGCACACACAATTGTTACAGTGTGGCAGGATCAGGATGAGTCTGAGTTGAGGCCATGTGGTCAGCCGCCCATCCAGAACACTCACACAGCAGCACAGGGCACCTCTTAGGGAGGGGGTGAGCGGGGAGAAGGGAATAGTGACAAAAGCCACTCAAATCTGCCTGCCTAAATCATTTCCTCGTAACAACCAATGAATTCTGGTCAAGGTCCTGGGTCTTGAAAAGAAAAGTTAAGCAGCAGTTCACCACCACCACTCGCTGGAGGGAGATGTCTAACAGAAGGCAGCTGAGCAATCAGAAGGGAGAGGCAGCGCCTATGAGCTTCTCGGGTGCCCCAACACTGGGCCCAGCAGCCCTCTGGATTCTGGTGGCTACCTGGATTCAATGGGCCTGGCCCTCCAGCTCTGGGTCACTCTGGGACACAGCGGAGGGCCCCCTGAGAGCTGGAGCTGTCTTGCATTATTTAAAGTTAGAGTAGTCCCTTCCCTGACAGAGGGAGCAAGAACTCAAGCTGCCCTGGCTGTTCACGGCTCCAACTGGTGAAGCCCCTCTGAGGAAAGACCCAGAGAGCATGCC